ATAATACGAGTTACAAGTATGTTACCAAATGTAGGAAGAAATGATTGGTTTTGAAAAAATTTGTTTCCTTTACATAATCATTTGTTTGGTAAAGCAAAGATCAAACCTGTGGAACTCCTCAGGTTCTATTGCTCTGTTGCTTACAAACAAGAGTATGTGGACTAATCCTTTATGGAAGATATACTTAAATAATTTCAAGGACATAGAGTGAACAAACTGGATAAGGAATTCTTACCTGTCTTGGGTAGTAAGAATCATAGATGATTCTCATATTAAGTGCAGATATCAAGTTAATGGTATTATTTTATGCTAATTTTACTTTACAATTGCAGTTTCAGTTTGGGGCCAGCGTCCAGAAAATGTAAATATTAAGAAGGGAGACATATATAATTTTTGTCACCACCTATTACTTTGATAATGCTGCTACAGTATGCTTTGGATATGCCTTCTTTTTTATTAACACAGTCAATTGAAAATTATTCTGCATTTGGGTCTTGATCACTTCTGGATAAGTGCTATTTCTATCACTGAAATATAATTGAATTTTGGTACATGAATCTTGAATGTTAAATTGAAAGCTTTTTACTTAGAAGATAACCTCTAACAGGCCTGTAGCATCAGCATTTGAAAAGACAAGATTCTGTAATTTGTTTATCAAAATATCTTGCACAGGGAGTATAATAAAGGACAGTTAATGACAAATGTTTTTATCTAACTTTTAAAATTACTGATTTAATGATATGGTATTCTCTTGGGCTTTTTTGCTGAAACTTGAATTTATTTTAGAGAATCGGAGCCATGTGTTCCAGTCTCAGAGAACTGAAGATCTCGTTGTGCTTGGCACTTGGTAAATTCCTGTAGGACGGACTGCCCAAGCCCCTGGTCAAGTGACAGTCCTGTACAGAAACAGGTAGAAGGGGAAGGTGATCTGTCACACAACCGTGTGGTGTCTGAATGGTACGCTCTGAGAGAGGGCTTAGAACTTCTGCAGGTTTGTGTACCTGCTGACCTCCATTCAGATCAAAGAATGGAGACAAAATTATTGTCTTAAAAAGCCGAAGTTGAGAGCAGCGTTTTTTACTTGCCTGGGGAGAGTGGTTGATAGGCTGGACAGGGCTGCTTCTTGGAGGGATCTTGACAGGATTGAGAAATGGCTGACAGGAACCTCGTAAATTCCAGCAAAGGCAATAAGAAGGCCCTGCGTCTGAGGTGGAACAGCCTGATGACTAGAGCAGGCTGTGGGAAGACTGGATGGAGAGCAGCCTTGCAGAAGAGGACCTGTGTGCTGTGGTGAACCACTCGCTGAATACGAGTCCGAGCGTGCTGTTGCAGCGAAGGACAACCGCGTTGTGGGCTGTATTAGTAAATGCAGCTGAGGGACAGCAGGTTGAGGGAGTGACTCTTCCTCTCTGTTAGGCATCTCTGAGACTAAGGGGCTGGAGCACATGATATTCAAGGAGAAACACAGAGGTGGGTTTGTTCAGCCTTAAGAGGAGGTGAAGGAATGGGAGATCTCACTGCTGCGGTTGGGAAGGTATAGAGCCAGACTCCTCTTGGAGATGCATGACAATGAGATGAGAGGCAGTGGAGACCAGCTGATTTAGCTACAAGGAAGGGTTTTTGTATTGTTTTTATTTGGGGGGGTTTTGTTGTTTTATTTACCAAAATGAAATGGTGCAAGTAGGATTATCCCTTCTCACGCTTCTGTATGAGCTAGGAATTTTTGATGCTTTCTGACATGTGGCATGTTGTGGTCTGTATTGCAGTGAAAACTAAAAAGTCATTCTCAGTTTTACATTACCCTTTCTGAATCAGGAGCTGATGTGTGGCAGGACCTCTGGGGTTTTTTTGTTGTTAGTGTTTTGTTTGTTTGCATTTAACCTGGAGAATGGTCAAACACTGAAGGAGGAGTCTAGCGAGTATGTGAAGCGTCCATCCATGGAGGTGTTAGAACTTGACGGGACAAGGGCCTGTGCAACCATAACTAATTCAGATTGTGCTGGATGGTGCGTGAAAATCCCTCCCATCCTAAACTGTCCTGCTATTCTGTGATTACTCCAAAACCAGGCAGTATGGCTTTGTAAATTAATTGTTAAAGTTATGTTTAGGAAAACACAAACCAAATAAAGTGTGCAAGAAATCTTAGGTGACCTTGAAAGTGCATCTGGAATGAACATATGGTCATCACAAAAACTTGTAATGTTAATTTTATTTGCAATATTATATGAACTTAAACAAGTAAGACCTTGCATATTTACTTATTGGTAATGTAAGGCTTAGAATTTTTGTTACGAAAGCTACTATACTGTTTGAGAGAACGTTAGCAGGAGACCTGATGAGAATGTAAGGAGTCTTTATATTTCTTCCTTAATTTCTCACACTTACTGTGCAGTCAATTTTAGGCAGCCATGCCTTAAAGAGATTTGTAGACACTGTTGTGAAAGCTAGTTTACTGTCTGGGAATTTTTAAGGAGAAGAAAATTACTATCCAGAGCCCTACATGCAGCCAAATCTTTGAATTTAAAACTACTGCTTATTCAGATCACCTACTCAAAACATATGGCTGTTGGTTACATTAACTCTGCTTTCACAGTGCTCCAGTTTATAAGTCATCTAAACCGTCAATTTTGGCTCTTATCAATCTCTAGATGTCATTAAAGGTTAAGGACAAAATTATGATGGATTTATCTTAGTCTCTGCTGTACTTATTCTAAGATAGAATGGGCTGTGAGTTTCTGTGAGTTCACATTGTGTGCTAAGTCTGAAGAATTCGTGTCATCACTTCTTCAAAATGATTCAGTTTCAAAGAAAAGCATGACATGGCTACTAAATATCTTTAAGGAACCAAGGTTTAATTAATTCTAGCTCATAAATTTGTGGATTAGTATATAAGCTGTCAGGAAATTAAATGTGTGCTCAGAGAGGAAGTACTGCATTTTGGAGTATGATGCTTTTTTATCTTTAGGTCATTGCAAAAAAAATCTGTTCTAGGCTCAAAATGGAGTTCAATTGTGAGATACAAGTGGCTCTTTCAAAAGTGTGAGTGGCTGTAGTGACCAAAGTATAAGAGAAGAACCAGTGTATTTTTTATCATCTTGCATTTAAGCTGCTGTTTTTAGAATAGTGCAAAGAGTAAATCAACACAAAAGGATTAAAGTTCTTAAACACCCAAAAAATGCGAGGCTTCCCACTGCATGTATATTTGAAGATTTGAACAAAGAACTATTAATATTAAATGCCTTGGGTTAGAAGGGGATTTGTAAGACTGCTTTATAGTATGTGTCTATAATTTGAAGTGGGGATGATTTAGCAATGACTGCAAAGTTAGTTGATGAAATAATTTCCTTCTGAGGCTCTGAAAAAGGAAAAGGTGTATTAGTGAAGCCTTAAAGATTGACTTCCCCTAACTTGGTCTACTCTCCGTAAATACTCAGTTTTCCACAGTTTTCAGTTTTTGTTGGATGGGATAGATAAAAGAAGAGAGTATTCTGTTAGCATTCTGTTCTTCAGAAAAACATAACATTGTTTCATTTGCAACTGTGTTGGAAAAGATGAGTAATCTGGGACTATTTTCCTCTAGAACCCCACCTTCCCTTTACCAGGAGTGCTTTCAGCTTTCTCACTGGCCTGATGGAAGATGCTTACCACTTGGCTCCTTTGAAGGTGAGGCAGCTTTGTACATATCCTTCCTGCAGCCTACAAGTGAGGGCTGTGACTGAACTTTGAGCAGTCGAAGACCCAGTGCCATCCATTGGTGTCTGCCCTCAAGTTCTCTCTGACTGCAGGAATCACAGGTCTCGGAAAAACCTCAACACTCTCCCTCCACTCTTTTGTGCCATAGTTAGATGTGAGAAAAATAATGTCTCATTTTACTATTAATAATATATTTGGCTGTGTGAAAAATGGGAAAAAATGTTAACTTGTTACATTCTGCTGTGCCTCACCTAGACCAGGAGGATTATGGTGATTTAATTGTTTTAAATTAGTTTGGTTACTGGAAGAGAAAAATCAGGGAAAGCCTTCTGATGCAGTTGCTGTTGTAGTCCAGGTACTTTCATATAACCAAGTCAGTATGTGTCTTTTATTGACACTTGTGACAAAACTTTCTCATGTATGTCTGCAATTCAACTTCAGCTTTTTGTTTTTGTTAAAGAAGGAGCATATGGAAAGAAAAGCTCATTTAAATAACCTCTGTTTATACAGTATTAAAACTACAAAATTATCTCCCAATTTTTTCTTGCCCTTTGTGTGCATTCAGCAAAGTGGAATTCCTTTATATTACTTATATGCTGTGTAGATAAATGCTGTTGTATACAGTTCTACATATCTTCCTTTTAGACAAGTGAAACTTTGAAGTTATATTTTATGCATATACAGGGAAGAGAATTCAGGCTGCTTATTTACCTTCTGGTCCTGCAAATATTTCAGCAGCCTGTTTAAACCCGTTGTTGGGTGATGCCTTAGTCTTTTTCAGTAGGGGAGATGCAATGTGGAGTGCAAATCTTCATTCAGGAGCAGTTAATCTTTCTAGGAAGTGGACTTCCAAAGTTATTTTTATTTTGGTGTCTTCAGGACATGTTTTACAATTTTTAAGATGGTTTAGAATGTAAATTGGCAAAACTTGAACTCTGATCAAGCAAAGCATCTAATTGGAATGTTTTTTCAAAGGCTTCCATCTATCATTATGCTGCAAAGCATGTTTGCATCTGCCTTAATTATTTAGCTATTTTTTTTTGTTAGTGGTAAGTTTTGTCTATGAAAAATGATCCTCAAAGCCTGAAAATAAGTAGAAATAATACATTTAAATGTAACATGCAAATAGAGCGTCCAAATTTTAAGTAGTTGATACTGCTCAAATGTGGGTGTGGAATAGATGTGATTATTGGAAAGACTGGTTTACCTTATTTTGCTTTCTTTTAAAAAGTGATTCTAAATTAATGCATTTTTATAAGCCTGTAATTCTTTGTTTTCTAGGCATTTCTAACTTGGTGAAGGTATACTGGGCAAGTATTGACTTGAAAGCTGCTTTTAGGATGTCTGAAGATGATGAAAAAGTTAAGCTCCGTCGAATTGAACCTGCCATTCAGAAATTCGTTAAAGTGGCAATTCCAACAGATTTGGAGAGGTTAAGAAAACACCAAATAAATATTGAGAAGGTTGGTGTTCACTTTTTTTACTAATACAGTTCTTTTTGCAGTATAGAAGCAGTCATGCTGGAAGATTATGCAGAGATTTCAATGGAAAGTTGATTATTAAATGTTTTAATTTAATTTTGGCTAAAAAGGAAACTTCTATATTGTCTAGTCATTCAAAGTGTACAAAAGCCTTTATTAGTGGGAGCTAGTCAATCTACAGACCAAAGAACACTATTTTGTGTAAAAAAGTTGTGTAAGGAAAGCAGCCCAATAGTCTTACTTGATTTTTAAGTCACAATGGTTTGCTGCCAACTATTCTGAATATCTTACTGTTTATACCTGTCTTGTTCTATATATATTTTTAAACTGAGGTGAGAGAAATAGAGAGATTGAATTATTTAAGTAAATAGAAAAAGAATTATATCAAAATTGCAGCATGTTTATGTGCTTCTTGTTGATATTAGCTCACACTTGACAGTGAAACTGAATGTGCTTCCAAGAAAAATTAATGTCGAGTTAGATTCCTCTGTACGCTGTCGTGGTGCCTGTACTGGTAAAATATACATGCCCAGAACAGTTGTCTGGTGTGAAATGGCCTATGTCCATATTATTAAGCCTTCATATTCTGCAGAACAGCCTGGTTACATCCACACTACTAATGGGCAATAGCCTCTATTTTGTGTTTGCAACTTATTAACTATTCTCAGGAATTCTTCATGTGAAAGAACTGTTTGGCATGGCCAAAACCGTGCCAGGGACAGTTGTAAAAATTTAACAGCACAGATGACCAGATTTCAGACTTGAAACGTTCTCAGTCTCCTTTTATTAGTAAAGCTGTGGCCTGTGGAAACAGAGAAATTTGTTTGTTGAGGAAGGTGGTAAGAGCTTTACTAAAACAAGTGACACCACTAAAAAAAGAAAGAGAGTGAGTGACTCAGGAAACATATTTATAGTTGTAATAACAATATTGTGATGGAATTTTTGAAATGACTGGTATAAAGACATATTTTTTTAGTAAGATTTACTTACCACCACAGAAAAATCGGTGACTGAGTATCTGTAGTTCTTCAAAGTTCTGTACATGTTTCTGAAAAAGCGTACGTCGTATTAATTTTACTAGAGGCTTGTTCACAATGCATAAAATCAAGTATATGTAAATCTGGATGGTGTAGGACAACTATCTCTTTTTTAACACCTTGGGAAGGAATGAATAATTTGGAAGAAAATACGTGAACATGATTTTGATTTCGTGAAAAGTGTGGTCTGAAGGGTGTGTATGATTTGCTGTGGAAACTGTTTTGTATTTTGCTGCTGTCACTTGTTCATAACTTTACTGTAACTTTACTGCAACTTTACCAAGTGCAACTTACCTGTGGGATGAAATTTTCCATGACAAGTTTCTGCCTTGAGTAGTTTGGGGGTGGGGGAGGAAGGAAAATAAATAAATTCTGAGAACGTAGTCAGGAAATAATGTGTTCTTCAAGTGGTAGCCAATTCCTTTAATAAGAAATGTTTAGTTTAAGTGATAGTGATTGATAGCTTAGTGATAATAACTTCCTTGCAAAGCAGTGACATGTTAGAACAGTAACTTGAGATTTTTGTGGTGTGGTCTTTGTTTGGACTGTACATTTTGCCGTGCCTCTAAAAATCTGCCATGTTTTGGCCAAGAGGTACAATTCTGAAAAAAAAGTGGTTTGCAGGTAGACACTGGTTAAACTCTACCAGCTGAAAATTGCTAAAGATTTACCCAGCACTGGGCACAGTCCTGTGCTAGAAATGATCAGAGCTCATTCTTGGAGCTGCTAATTTGATTGGTCCTGAATCTGAGAATAAAAGCAAGGAGATAGTTTTTCTTGTGTTCCCACAATCTCATCCTCTTATTTTCCCTTACTCATATGCAAGAGGAAACTCTTTCTGGCTCATGTAAATAAAGGATAAAGAATTGGGTAGGGGGAGGTTGTGAAGAAGTAGCTCAGATGAAAGGTGCAAGTGCAGAAATGGCTGACCATAGGATGAGAGAAAGAACTAAGACAGAGTGAGACCTGGGGCTGCTGGGACTAATAATGGGAGGTAATAATTTGACTCTTTCCTGGTAAGGGTGTAATAAGGACACAGTAAGGATATAGAATCATAGAATAGTTTGGTTGGAAAAGACCATTACAATCATCTAGTCCAACTGTAAACCCAGCATTGCCAAGTTCACCACTAAACCATGTCCCCAAGTACCACATCTACATGTCCTTTAAATACCTCCAGGGATGGTGACTCCACCACTTCCCT